ATATTAGGCAGCAAAAGTTTTATTCACATCCTATCTTTAACGTCCAACACTGGGTGGGTGTAACACGAAGTACCCTCCTCAGTGTCTGCTGTAAGAATGATGATTCCCTCTCCCCCAGCCTTTTTTTTTTTTTTTTTTTTTTGATACAGCGTCTGACTCTGTCAACCAGGCTGGAGTGCAAGAGGTTGGCTCACTGCAACCTCTGCCTCCCAGGCTCAAATGTTTTTTCCAGCCTCCGTCTCCCCAGTAGCTGGGACCACAAGCGCGCGCCACCACGCCCGGCTAATTTTTGAATTTTTGTTAGAGACGGGATTTCGCCATGTTGCCCAGGCTGCTCTCGGAACTCCTGAGCTCAGGAGATTCACCCGCTTCTGCCTCCCAAAGTGTTGGGATTACAGGCCTGAGCCACCCCGCGCCCGGTTGGATTCAATTTCCTAAAGAGAACTATAAGAAGGAGCATCCGACTCATAAGGCCTTTCTGAAGGCAAAAGCCCGAATATAGCAGCTTCATTTCTGACACTGCCATCCGTCGGCCTGCGGTACAGCTTTCTAGCTGGCAACCCCATCATTTAGGTGAGCAACTGCCGCCTCCCTGTCAGACGCTCTGCAGCTGACCGAATTAGAGACAGTCCCTGCCCCAGATTGCTCCCCTCGCTGCAGCAGGGGATAGGTTCGCTGAAGAACAGGGGTCATCGTATGACTTCAGGAGAACGCGAGCTTTGGCCCAGGGTGCACGAATCATTAAGGCTCAGCCCATTCTGCCTTCTCCGCCCAAGTCCAGGGACCTCTCGAGGTGCTGAATCCCCTCGGCATGACCAATGCTCTTTGACCTACGCTGGTACTTCTGGGCGTTGCTCACACCTGTGGGACAACTGGCCCTCCCCTTCCCATTGGACCCCATCTCTGACCCTCCGAGACCCGGGACCGCTGACCTCGAACCCCTGCCCTATTTCTCCGCCCTTTGGCCACTTTTTCTCCTCCTTACATTTTCTTGGCCACATCCGTCTCCCGGAACTGCTCCTTCACCATGATGACAGCTGCCAAGACGCCTCCTTGGCACTCGGGAAGCTAGATTAGAGAAACGATGCTCTCCGCACCTCCTGGGGCTGCTTCTTGACTGGCCTCTAACACAGCGGCAGCATCCTCTCGGCCACCGTAGAGTGCCCCACGTGTCCGCTTCTCTTCCGCTACTCGCCGGCGCGTCTGTCTGTCAAGAGAGACTTCCGGCATGCTGCTTTTTTTTTTTTTTTTTTGCCCTCTCCCTGCACCGTCACCTGGTGGCGCTTCCGGGAAACAGCACCGAGGCCTGCGCTGTATTTTAAAAATCCCATTTCTGGTCAATTTCTCCAGGTAATCAGACACCTACGGAGAAACAGCATGTAACTCTTTGTCTCAAGACTTTTAGACAGGCAGAGGGCCAAAACGTGCATAAAATGGAAAATCATCATCATTAACATCAGTACCATTTAAATCAAGAGACTAATTGTTTAAGGGAAGGTGGAGGCTAAAATGAACTGTCTGGAGGACCAACAACGGAAAAATAAACAGAGCAGAAACTATGGGCGCACATGTGCCTCCAGTACATGAAGTTATTTGGGGGGAGGGGAGAAAGAATTAAACTTATATTCTTGATTACAAAAACAGCTGAAAATCTGTTGGAGTGAAAATAGCCATGGTGATCTACAGAAGGAAAGGGAGAATGGAAAGTAAAGATCATTCATATCTTGAAATAGTCTACAGTCTGTGACAGCTTGTGGGAGGTCATCCTAGTGTGATATCTTGGTGCACTGGACCAGCAAGGAAATCACATTACCCCAGGGCTCAGTGCTATAAAACCTAGAACTTATTCTTCATTTGTGAGAAACTCAAAACAGAACTTAACAATATGTTTAACAACTTTCAATTTAAGAAGGGATGCTATCTCATTTTCGGATCCTCACTAGCAAAACACAATGTCACAGACAAAAAACAAGGCATATCAGGTTTTACTAATCTATTTCAGTAGTCCATCACTTAATGTGTCTTTGGAATAATGTTGACAATATTATACCAACAAGGTTTGGATCGTGGGTGACGTATCATCTAGAGGGTAAGAGCTGAAGTTCTGAAATCACAGTGCCATCATGGGAGTCTACCTTCCACCATTTAAAGTTGTGTAGGCTGGGCATGTGACTCACGTCTGTAATCCCAGCACGTTGGGAGGCAAGGTGGGTAGATTACGACGTCAGGAGTTTGAGACCAGTCGGACCAATATGGTGAAATCCCCATCTCTACTAAAAAATACAAAAATTAGGCATGTTGGCACACGCCTATAATCCCAGCTACTTGGGAGGCTGAAGCAGGAGAATCACTTGAACCTGGGAGGCGGAGGTTGCAGTGAGCTGAGATCATGCCACTGCACTCTAGCCTGGGTGACAGAGTAAGGCTCCGCCTCTAAATAAATAAATAAATAAAGTTGTGTGACCTTGGGAAAGTTATTTAATCTTGTTGTGTGTTAGTTTCCCCATTTATAACATGGGTGGGTAATAGGTACCCTATTTCTTAGAGTCTGTGGGAAGGTTAAACAACAAAATGAAGGTAAAACTAATTAGAATGTAACAGGAGAACTCGAGCTTTGGCCTAGGGTGCACTTATAGTTAATAAGGATAGTATTAACTATCCTTATTTATTATTATTATTTTTTTGAGATGGAGTCTCTCTCTGTTGCCCAGGCCGGAATGCAATGGTGTCATCTTGGCTCACTACAACTTCTGCCTCCGGGATTCAAGTGATTCTCCTGCCTCAGCCTCCCAAGTAATTGGGATTATAGGCATGCGCCACCACACTTGGCTAATTTTTTGTATTTTTAGTAGAGACAGGGTTTTACCATGTTGGTCAGGCTGGTCTTGAACTCCTCATGACCTCAGGTGATCTGCCTGCCTAGGTCTCCCAAAGTGCTGGGATTACAGGCATGAGCTACTGCCAACTCATGCCTGTAGTGGTCAACTATCCCTATTCTTTTTTTTTTTTTTTTTTTTTTTTTTTTTTGAGACGGAGTTTCGCTCTTGTTACCCAGGCTGGAGTGCAATGGCGCGATCTCGGCTCACCGCAACCTCCGTCTCCTGGGTTCAGGCAATTCTCCTGCCTCAGCCTCCTGAGTAGCTGGGATTACAGGCATGCGCCACCATGCCCAGCTAATTTTTTGTATTTTTGGTAGAGACGGGGTTTCACCATGTTGACCAGGATGGTCTCGATCTCTTGACCTCGTGATCCACCCGCCTCGGCCTCCCAAAGTGCTGGGATTACAGGCTTGAGCCACCGCGCCCGGCTAACTATCCCTATTCTTAAGAAAATAGTTGATGGGGCATGGGGCAGGCTCACACCTGTAATACCAGCACTTTGGGAGGCTGAGGCCGGCCGATCACTTGAGGTAAGGAGTTGGAGACCAGCATGGCCAACATGGAGAAAACTCGTCTCCACTAAAAATACAAAAAGCCGGAAGTGGTGGTGCATGCCTGTAATTCTAGTTACTGGGAGGGCTGAGGCAGGAGAATCCCTTGAACCCGGGAGGTGGAGGCTGCAGTGAGCCGTCATCAAGCCATTGCATTCTAGCCTGGGTGACGAAAGCTAGACTCCATCTCAAAAAAAGAAGAAAAAAGAAAAGAAAAAGAAGAAAAAGAAAATAGGAAAGCTGCCTGAAAAGCTTGCACCTTGGACTCCTTGTCTGCACTAAGATTTGGGAAATTCTTCTTATTCTTTCTCCAGCACATGTATATTTACATTCTTTACATGTCTGTTTCACGTTAAGGAAAATATTTCTGGATCAACCAAATATATATTTTTTCCTTCTTTTCTTTTCGTTTCTTTCTTTTTCTTTTTCTTGAGACGGAGTTTCACTCTTATTGCCCAGGCTGGTGTGCAATGTCGAGATCTCGGTTTACCGCAATCTCTGCCTCCCGCAATCTCTGCCTCCTGGGTTCAAGCGATTCTCCTGCCTCAGCCTCCGGAATAGCTGGGATTACAGGCATGCGCCACGGTGCCCGGCTTTTTTTTTTTTTTTAAGTTGGGAGGGGGTTTCGCCATGTTGGCCAGGCTGGTATCGAACTCCTGACCTCAGCTGGCCCGCCCGCCTCGGCCTCCCAAAGTGCCGGGATTACAGGTGTTGTCATGGAGCCCAGCCAAATATTTTTTAAAAGCTAATTTTGCGTAAGGACCAAGATTTGCAGAAAAATACAAATTAAAGAGATCTTTTATTTTCAAGTAGAGACTCATGAAAGTCTCAAAAATTAATAATTATGAATAATGAATTAGAATGGGCAATGTTGCCTACTTGAAAAACAAAGGTTTTAAAGTCAGGGGTTCCTGAAGTTCCTCTAGCTGTACAGTATAACGAGGAGGCTGCTCCAGAGGATATTCTAAAATGCTTTCCAGGTTTACCCACCTCTAACGCCGAAGAAGGCAATTTAAACTAATTTGGTTTACCGCAATTCAAGTACGTGCAATTCAACCTAATTAATTGAACTGAAATTGAACATGTGCTTGCGTATTCGGCTCGAGCTATTCTGGCTCCGGATTGGCCAGTTCAGAGTCCAAAATGTGTGGCCAAAGGTCTGTGCGGTGAGGCCGTAGGCAGCTTCAATCAGGCATCGGCGCGGATAGCCTCACGGCCTGGCCACGCCCCCACGCCGGCGCTTCCCGGGGTCCTTCCGTGCGCGTTGATATGATTGGCCGGCGAACCGTGGCTTTCTTTTCCTCCCGGGCTGTGTAAGGATAGGCCGCCATCATGGTGAGTCTCTTTGGGCCCGGGAAGTTATCTGCCGCGTATCCGAGCCATCCTTGGTCCCCGGGTCTCAATATCTGAGCTATAGGCACGCGAAGCCCGGTTGCTCCTCTCTGGGCGTTTCTATCGGAGGATGGTTGTCGAGGGCCTCGGGGCTGTCGTCAGGGAGTCAGGGCTGGCGGGCTGCGCTGCAGAACCGAACACGCCGGGCTTCGGGCTTCGGGCTCCAGTGCTTAGGCGTTGCAGGAGCGGCTGCTTTTGTCGACTTCGTGGAGCACAGTGGATGGCGGGAGGAGGATAGACAGACCCTGGGAGGCACATCTCTTCTGCAGTACCAAATTGGGCTAGGTAGACGGCTTGCAAGTGATGGCAGCTCAAGAGGTGAAGAAGGTGCCGGCAGCGCCTGGGCGAGTTACGGCAAGTGAAACCATTCCCACGTGTGAGCTAGAAAACTTGTCAGCTGAATAGATCTTCTTGTTTCTTACTGGGGAAACGGAGGCCTTGGAAAGGGACGTTATCAAAAGGTAGTCCTGCTCTTAAGTCATATGTTAGCTCCTCCAGCATCCGGTTGAAACTTTACCTGCAAGCTGTTTTTTTTTTCCTTCTTTACCTTTGATCTTTTACTTTAAGGAATTGAGTACCATTGACGTGGGTTTAATTTGGTGTGGCTTCTCAAAGTAAAATGGAGAAAGTCTAGCAAGTCATTTGCTACCATGAAAGTCTCTTGCCCCTCCTTTTTGGTAAAATTGTTAGCGTAAATTGCTTAATGCCCACATTCCTTGGTAGATATTAAGTAAAGGTGCAGTTCAGTCCTTCAGAAGGAAATACCGTTTTCTGGTCTCTGCCATGGCCGTCCTAGGATAGATTACATGCAGGTAGTAAGTGCAAGGTTTGGGTCACATTTATGCAGGACATGATAAACACAGTTTTTTGAATGTGACATTTATGTGAGCCACAGCAGTTTTTACTCCAGGGAAGTGATCTCAACCTGGAGTGATTTTTTTCCACTAACGGAGCAGTTGGCTAAGTCTGGAGACGTTTTTGATTGTCACACTGGGAAGGGTGGGAAGTGCTTCTGGCATCTAGTGGTTAGAGGCCTGGGATTTTTATAGTTTCTAAAACATACAGTCCCCACAACAAGAATTATCCATATGGAAATGTCAGTAGTGGTGAGGTTGAGAAACCCTGCCCCAGAGTGATTAACATAACCTAATAAAGTGAGATGTACAGATTTTATGTAAAACTGCTGTATTTTCTTGGTATTTTATGTATTTGTTAGCCTGTGAGTTTGGCCCTGCTCAAAGGGTTTTATGGCTACAAGTTGGACTGCAACATTCTAGGTCTTGGAATATCACAGCAAAGTCAAGAAAGGTTGAGTAGCTTTATTAACTAGAGTGTTTATGCTTTCAGAACGACACAGTAACTATCCGCACTAGAAAGTTCATGACCAACCGACTGCTTCAAAGGAAACAAATGGTAAGGAAGGGCACATCAAATTTTTCTTAATTGTCCTTTATTCTGAAGATATATTTTATTACAGTGAACGCTAAACTTGGTATCTCCTTTTAGGTCATTGATGTCCTTCACCCCGGGAAGGCAACAGTGCCTAAGACAGAAATTCGGGAAAAACTAGCCAAAATGTACAAGACCACACCGGATGTCATCTTTGTATTTGGATTCAGAACTCATTTTGGTGGTGGCAAGACAACTGGCTTTGGCATGATTTATGATTCCCTGGATTATGCAAAGAAAAATGAACCCAAACACAGACTTGCAAGAGTAGGTGTCATTTCATTTGTTCATCAGCTACTGAAGACCTTTTTCCAGTAGCGTTGTGAGTGCAGTAAAATGGGCAAGACCGAGCAATCTGGGAGGGTCAGTGTACAGACGGACAAAGAACTCTGAAGGGATTAAGAGAAAAAGTTATTTGCTACAGTGCACAGGTAGAGTAAGGAGATTCAAAATTGAAGCCTGACATTTGAACTGAGTTCAGAAGGGCAGCTGAAGTAGTGTTCTTGGAGATGGGCTAGGGATAAGCATTGTTTTCCAGAGGGAAAGTAGGGGGATGTGTTTCCATAGGTAGCCTGGCACCAAATTCATTTAGTGTGGATTAAGTCCGAGTCTGGGCTTAATCCCATAGGTAGCCAGGAACCAGGAAAGGTTTTTTATTTCCTACTGAGTGCCAAACACGGCAGAGTGAACTACAGTGAGCTGGGCAAGCTCCCCCGATTACATTCTAGTAAACAAGTAAGCATCATTACCTTGAAATGCTTGTTTGTTCCTTTAACCCACTTTACCCCATCCTGTTAGATAAATCTTCCCATACAATAGCTGCGAGGGAAAATCCTGGTGATGTCATAGAAGTTGTACTATTTCTAACTGAGTTTGCGTTCATGGTCTGAGAAGGTCTTGCTGAGGAGGTGACATTGAAGCTGAGATCCTTGTAAGGTATTTGGAAGTAGTCTTTGTAAAGATACGGAAACAGTCTTGTAGGCCACAGGAACAGCAAGTGTAAAGGTGGAGGTGGATAGATGTGGAGTCTTCATGGTGTGGGGTGTGGTAAAGGCTTTCCTGTCATCAGGGAGTAATGGGGAGTTGAAATGGGAAGAGATCCTTCAGCCACTTGAGAGGTGCCTTGTTTTGGTAGTGCCAAAAGAAGAGAAAATAGTGACCTGTGGGCTCAAGTGTGGATGAGAGTGTTGAGTGGACCATTTGTTTTCTGTGAGGCTATTTTACACTTAACAATCACTTGATGATCCTTTCTTTTCTAGCAAAAACATGTATTAAATGTACTTAAAAGTTCCAGTTTAGAAAGCTGCGTTTCTTAAGATCAGTTTCGCCACCAGAGTGGTGGGTAATTATTTTAATGTTTGCAAGTCACTTGGATGTATTCCTTTCTCCTTTAGCATGGCCTGTATGAGAAGAAAAAGACCTCAAGAAAGCAACGAAAGGAACGCAAGAACAGAATGAAGAAAGTCAGGGGGACTGCAAAGGCCAATGTTGGTGCTGGCAAAAAGGTATAGTTCATCAAGGAAGACACAGAAACATCATCAATTGTAGGTCTTTAGTTTCTAGGAAAGGGATTTTGTTTTTGTTTTTTTTTTAAATAACCTTTCTTAATGTTTCTTCTTTCCCCTCTTCTTCTGGATTATAGAAGGTAACATGTTTTAAAAAACTATGTAGCATAGTGTCTTAACACCTCAGTAGAGTAGCTTGGCCCACCCCTTATCAGCTCACAGCACAATCTGGGGGCCACATTGGTTCATTGATCCTGGTGGGCACCTTTCAAGCCTATCACAGGAAGTTTTAATTTTACTAATTGGCATAGACCCTTCAATGCAGAGCAGATCTTGTTCCCTGGGATTTTACTTACTAACATGGACATTGGTTTAAGAAGCAGCTGGATCAATGTGGCCCGTGTATTCCTGGCACACTGGAGAGGCAGCTGAGATCTCAGGATTGCTTTCCTCTCCAGTTAGCCAAGACAAGTGATTTTAGCGATCAGTGGCTTTTTACCAGCTTTGCTAGCTGTAAATAGTTGGTTGTAAATCATTGAATGGAATTAAGGTGTTGGGTTGTTAAATTAACAAATAATCAAGTGTTCTGTGAATTTTTTTTTTTTGCTTTTCCTCTCTACTTTCTTGGATTTCTTGTTCATCAGAAATGAAGTGTCTAGCAGGTACTGAGATTGTAAGCACGGTGTGGGGATGCATCACCTTCACTGAGTTTGCGTTGATGCTTTGCATGTTGGCCTTACAGTTTTAAGAGTATGGTTAATTATAATGCCAGTGTTATTTAGGCTGGTGCAAAAGAAATTGCGGTGGCAAAAACTGCAATTACTTTTGCACCAACCTAATGGGTTTTAAGGTAATATTATGAGCAAAGGAGAAAACTTTTAAAATCATGTTTATTTTGAAAACTCCAAAATGCATGTTACATGTGAAGTGACTCACTGGAGGAAGGTGAGTGCTTTACCAGTAGGCACCTTTTAGCTTGCACTTGGGAAATGCTATGTCACCATACTTAGGAAGTGGCTTCAGTTACCACTGGGCTTGGGAAGGGCTCTCCTATCCAAGGAGCAGTCTTTGGAGCCATGAAACCAGCCTGGCAGCTCTGGTCGTAAACTGGTCTGTGAAATCTGGCAAAGCCTCTGTCCTGTTTAGATACTCTCAGAGCTGCCTTTTACCATTTCCATTGCTTTTTATTACTTGGTCTCCAGTTTTCTGCCTGGTGTCTTTTTTATTTAATAGAAAATTTGTGTGTAGTTATGTATTCATATCGAAGTCTTTGGTGGATATACTTTTTCCCACAAGCACTTGGTCAGAATGGCCCATTACCCCATTTTATTTTATTTTTTGAGACAGGTCTCTTGTCACTCAGGCTGGAGTACAGTGGTATGATCATTGCTCACTGGATCTCCTGGGCTTGGGTGATTCTTCACTTCAGCCTCCCTCGTAGCTGGGACCATAGGTGTGTGCCACCATGCCCTGCTAACTTTTTATAGGATTTAGCCGTGTTGCTCAGGCTGGTCTTGAACTCCTGGACTTAAGCGATCCTCTTGTTTCAGCCTTCTAAAGTGCTGGGATTACAGATGTGAGCCACTGCGCTCAGCTTGTTACCCTATTTAAAGCACATTTTGCACATCTGAACAGCCTAAAATTGTAATGTGTAAAGTGGGGTAGGAGTGGGGTGAGCATAGGGGGATTTTGAATCAGTGAAGGCCATTGTTCTTCTGGCTTCCTTTTGCAATGATTCCTTGCCAGGCAAGGCAGTAAACCTGGGATTGCCTGGCCAGGACTAATCACATTGACGTCCCACCACCGTGGAGTTAGTAATGAATGAACTGCCGGCAGAACTACTCACTACTTAGAACAGCTCCCTGTTTGTGAGGATTACACCTGTTGAGAGAAGTTGCAAAAAGAATTAGTCAGTATTTGTCCTCTGACCTAGGTCTGAAGGACATTTAACACATTGATTCTTCTCTTCGTCCAGCCTTTGAGTCCTACGAGTTACTGTGCTCAGCCTGTGAGGCCCACATGTATGAAGGAGATACATGTGGGGAACTGAGCCAACACTATTCCTCCAAATTACACTTGTACCTCTTACTAGCGCTGCTGTGAAAAGCCAGCTGGAAAAATTGATGCATTTGGGCACACAAATTCTTTGGCTTCAAAGAAATAACCATAACAAAGTTGCTTTTTATACAGTTTTGTTCAGATGTTTGAATTAATATTTGTTCTTGTCTTTTGAATCCAGTGGAGTTAAATACTAAGTTAATTTCTTTTTGAGACGGAGTCTCGCTTTGTCACCCAGGCTGGCAGGCTGGAGTGCAGTGTGGTGATCTCAGCTAACTGCAACCTCCACCTGCTGGGTTCAAACAATTCTCCTGCCTCAGCTTCCCGCGTAGCTGGAACTATAGGCGCGTGCCACCATGCCCGGATAATTTTTTGTATTTTTAGTAGAGATGGAGTTTAACCATGCTGGCCAGACTTGCCTCGAATTCCTGACCTCATGATCGGTCCGCTTCGGCCTCTCAAAGTGTTGGGATTACAGGCATGAGCCATGGTTCCCGGCCCATGCTAAGTTACTTATACTAAGGCATTAGTAGTCTCATATCTGAAGAGCAGTTGTATTTTTACAGTTAAATTAATGCCTCTTTTTAAAATACTAACTTGTGTTAAACCGTTGTGGTTGTGAATGGTGTCTTTTAAAGTATTGAACTGAGGCAGCTTTTAAAAGACTTGTCTGATCATTTAGAGCACTCCCATTGCTGTTAAATTAGACTTTGATCTGTAATGATTCTCATCGGTTCCTGGTGTGTGTCCAGCACAGTGTTGCTGGGCAGAGCAGAGGGGCAGAAGCTCAGGTATGTACTTCACTGACCTGTGAGCAAGGCCATTCTGGGTACCACATTGGCATAATCTCTTCATTGTGCAGCTACCTTGTTTGCATAAGAACCACAGTAATCAGGCGAGGTATCAGTGAGAATTGGGGGGAACAAAATCAGTGAGTGTTGGGTGAGGCAGTGCTCTGTATACAATTGCAAAGAACAAAACGGCCATTTTTAAGGTACACCTGATTGCATGCACTTAAATGCAGATTATATTGGAGTTTGAAAAGGGACTATTAATGAAATCTTTCTTTTCCCTCCTTTCTCTTTTTCCCTTCCCCTGCCACTGATTCAGTGAGCTGGAGATTGGATCACAGGTACAATTCAAGCTTTTCATGTAGTCATGTGGATCGCTAGACTCCTTGGTGTACTGATGTAACAATTTAAAAGCAGATCATGTGTAATATGTTTAGAAGTAGATTTACAAATATTCCAAATTTAGCAATATGTAGCCCATTTTCTTTGTTTCATTTCTAACTTGAATGTTTGTCAAATTTTATTTCTTGATGCTTACATTGTGTAATAACACAAATAACTTGATGTTAACTAATATTTGTTTTGCATGAATGTTAATACTTTGGGAATTTAAGACTTTAAAGAATTTTAAAAGCAGTTGCTGATTAAACTTCTTTCTCTTGATCCACAGCCGAAGGAGTAAAGGTGCTGCAATGATGTTGTCTATGGCCGTTGTGGATTTTTCACGAGAAGCTTAATAAACTAAAAACTTTCATGTGTCTGGTTGTTTGAAATGTATTTGCAGTTTATTGAGAGTGCTAGGAAGTTAGTCTGCTGATTTCAGTTGCTGCCCAAGTTCACATGTTTCATTAAGCATTCAGTGAAAACTTAGTGTACTGGGTGGTGTATGTTTGCTGATTGATTTATAGTTTAAGTGGGTTCAGCTGGGAGTCAGGCTTGTGAATTCTATAAGAACCATGTCTGCACTGGACGCAGTGTAGTGTGCCTCACAGTAATCACTTTTTGGAGGCTGAGGTGGGAGGATTAAGCTTGAGCCCAGAAACTTGAGGCTTCGTTACCTAGGCTGGTCTTGATTGAACTCATGGGCTCAAATGATCCTCTGCCTTAGCCTCCTAAAGTGCTGGAATTAACAGTCATGAGTGACCACATCCGACTGAGAGTGTCTTTAAAATACCATGTCTAGATAAACTTGGGAAAAATCTCAGGAAGCAGTAGAGAACTGAAAGACTTGGTTGGGCTTGAAGGGGACCTAGGAAAAGCAATACCATGAAGGCAGAAGAGTTGAGGTTGCCAGGAAGGAAGGGTGGTGGTGAGAGCCCCTGCATGAGGCACCCACAGATGGGAGGGCAGGGCTCTGAAGAGTTAAGTCATGGGGCTGGGTCTGCTGGCCTGGGGTGGTTGGAGTTCTGTTTTTTGGATCTACAGAGAGGCTGTGTACTTCAGTTTGTGGGGCCTTTGGGTTTTCTAGCTGAGGAATCTGTTACTCCTTTGCTAGGAGCAGATGGCTTACTAGTACGGAATGTGTGGAATAATGGGGTCTTTGTGTTTGGCATTTATTGGTGCATACAGTGCATACAGGCCGAAGGTAATGCTGGGGGCAGCAAAGATTGGGGTGTGAGATGCAATTTGCTGTGACTGAACTGGCGTGTGGAAGCAGAGAAGGCACCCTGTGAGCAGCTTGTGGAGGCCAGGTGGTGAGGATCCTGAGTACTGCAGGGACAGGATGGGATGTGGAGTTGGGGGCGGTCGCTAAGTTGAGGAACAGTGGAAGGAAGCAATCGAGCGAGAACTGAAGGGTAGGAAATAGTTTGTGATGTGAAGACAAAGGGCATAGCCGCAGAGAGCCCAAATGATTGAACGTTGGCATCAAAGTCACAGTGAGGCAGCTTTCCTGTTGGGCTGTGCTCAGGGCAGTTGTAGTTCTTCAGCCTCTGGGGAAGGGAAGTGGGATGAAACTCAGGCTGGGCCTATTTTTCCTAGGGATCCAGTTGAGTTGGGATATTACAGAAAAACTGGCAGTCTTGCTGTGAGCTTTCATAGGCATAACATTTGGAAACTCGCGCGAATTTTACATAAAGGTGTAGATTCCAGCCTCTTGAAATATCAGAAGCAGCAATAGTAGCCCACCTTCCTGTATGATGACAGTTGGCAGGGCTCCAGGCTGGCTGCATCCCTTGGGACAGATGTTCTCCAGTCGCCAAGCGTTTGCCCCTACAGCCAGCTAATACCCTCTACCTGCCTTCTGGTGGTGTGTCCCCCCTGCCTGCTTCTCTTGGCTATGTAGTCCATCTGGGTGTTTTTTGGGGGAAATCACCTGGTCCCTCATTTGGGTTAGCTTGTCTTTAAGTGGGGCTTCTAAGGGTCTGTGTTGAGGCTGAGGATGTAACAACTGTGAGAACAAGTTTGGAAACTAGTGCTAAGCAGTTGTGTCAGGAAGCAGGGACTTGTGGGAACTCAAATTGTGGATGGTTGTGCTGCTGAACTTCAAGATTCTTGGGAGACTCAGCACATTGTAGGCCCTAACAGTAACCAGGCTACCCTGTGCTGTCAGCAGGCTTTGGAAGAGCCTCCGTAAAATGCAAAGTTGACTTTACAAAACTAAGCTGAATCAACAGTGAGGGAGCACACCCCTTCCTTCAGCTTGGCACTGGTTGGGAAGCTGTGGCTTAAATGAGAGATAGCAGGGATCTTTGAAGAGTGATGAGAAAAGAAGCTACAGGTGGTTCTGAGAAAGTGAATATTTTGGGTGCTGCATTTTAGCTTGCCCTAGCACCACACGCATGCGTTCTGTTTGTAGCTTGATGTGCCTGTGTAATCAGGCAGCTTTCGACTCTGCACTCTTCCTTTCTTCCCTGGTAAGTTGCTTATTTTAGGCTGCCCTTAAAGACGGCATCTTCGGTGGTGCTCTCATGGAGCTGAGACAGGTGCTGTCCTACACTCTGTATGACGATCTCTGTTAATCTGCATTTTAAATCTAAGAAGCATGTCTTAATGGACCCATGCTGGAAAGGGTGTAGAGTAGTTAAGCATCTTACCAGTGTCTCAGACATTAAGTGGTGGGAATGGGATTGGAATGGAATCATCGGACTCCAGAACACTGCATTTCTTTCAGGCACTCCAGTGTTGAGGAGCTACTTTCCACTGTGCATATAATGGCTTATAAAACTCAGGACTACCAGCAGGGTGCCAGTTGCCGTGGGTTTATTGAACAAGTGTTAGATGGCTAGCCAAATTCCGCATTTACTGATAACCTGCTGAGTCCCTGTTTGGAAGTTGGGGATAAAGAAGCTTTTCTGTCTTGAAAGCTCTGAGGAAGTTGACCATGATCTCATGGTCTGGCTTCTGTTCGTTTCTATGAAATAGCAGATAGTGTATGACTGTGACATGATAGAAATTGAGAGCCAGGGTCAGTGCAGGGAGGCTGAATCTTGGAAGGCCTCCAGGAGACACAGCAGTCCCCACCTATCTAGTTTCAGTTACCATCAGCTGTAGTCTGGAAACTTATGGCTCAGTGGTGTGGGATCACCCAAAAGTGATGATCCTTTTGATGTGTCATCAGAAGGTCAATAGTAGCCTAACACGTCACCCTGCCTATGTCATTCACCTCCCTTCATCTCACCACCTGGGCATTTTATCTCCCACACGAGTGTGAATACAATTAGATATTGAGAGAAAAAGTGTTAGTGTAACTTTTATGGTATAATTGTTTATTAGCTGTTAGTATCGGACTGCCTAAATTATAAATTTAGTTTTGTATGTATGGGAACAAACTTGGTGTAGATAGGTTTGCAGTTGGCATCCACTGTGGGTCTAGGAGCTTATGCCCCATGGATAAGGGAGGATTACTGTGACACCAGCTGGGGCAAGAGACATGATTCCATTTGGATGCACAGGAGAAAGTTCTCATTTGAGGCTATGAAAAATAGGAAAGAAAGCAGGGAGATGGGAGCAGGCAGCCGTAGGACAAGGTGAGACCTGTCATTCTGCAGGGAGAAAAGTGAGGATGACACTGGGGAGGTGGGGGCAGAGTCGGTAGGTAGGCATACTTTTTTTTTTTTGAGATGGAGTCTTGCCCTGTCGCCAGGCTGGAGTGCAGTGGCGTGATCTTGGCTCACTGCAACCTCTGCTTCCTGGGTTGAAGTGATTGTTCTGCCTCTGCCTCCTGAGTAGCTGGGACTACAGGTGTGTGCCACCGTACTCGGCTAATGTTTGTGTTTTTAGTAGAGACGGGGTTTCATCTTTTTGGTCAGGATAGTCTTGATCTCGACCTTGTGATCCACCCCCCTCAGCTTCCCAAAGTGCTGGGATTACAGGTGTGAGCCACTGCCTGGCCAGCATTCTCTTTGAATCAACAAGATGGAAGGCCCTGTGTGACTGGTGCCTTTGAGCAGAGTTTTGCACAATGCATTTCTGGTGGGAGATACTCCATTTCAAAAATAGTCTTTGGGTTGGCTGTTAGAGCACAGAAGTATGACAATGGACTCATTTCTGCTGGCAGCGAGGCTCTCCTGGGTTTTAGAGCTCTGTTGAACACACCTCCGTACATTTATCCATCTGTCCTTCCCAGTCCACTCACCCTTGAACTTCCCGCATGCCGGATGTTGAGGGGAGGCAGAAATGAGACCCGCCTCCCAGGCCCACAGTCTGGATGAGACCATAACAAGTGAGGTCCTGGTAAGAAATGAGGCTGGAGAGATCAGTGGGGAATAGATCAGGGAAGACCGTGTATGCCAGGGTAATGATTTCACTTGTTCAGTATTTTGGTTAAATAAAACACTGGAGAATTAGATATTCTGCAATGGATTGTGTGTCCTTGTCACATGCTGAGTTCCTCCACACAGGAAATACTTCAACACTCTGCTCATCATGCATGTTGGAGAGAGGATTTGTGTAGGAGGTTATGGGTCGATGAGATGGCATCCAAGTTTATTTTTATTTTTTTGAGACAGTTTCGTTGCCCAGGGTGGAGTGCAATGGCGCAATCTCAGCTCACTGCAACCTCTACCTCCTGGGTTCAAGTGTTTCTCCTGTCTTAGCCTCCTGAGTAACTAGGATTACAGGCATGTACCACCATGCCTGGCTAATTTTGCATTTTTTAGTAGAGACAGAGTTTCTCCATGTTGGTCAGGCTGGTCTCAAACTCCTGATCTCAGGCGATCCATCCACCTCAGCCTTCCAAAGTGCTGGGATTACAGGCGTGAGCCACTGCGCCTGGCCCCAAGTATTAATAACTCAGAAAAAGGGACCAGATCAGGAATCGGGAGACACAGTTCCTGATTTCCTTCCACTCAGCTTCCAATCAGCTGGGGCAATGAATGGGCAAAAGACTTCCCTTTTCTGGGCTTCTCTTTCCCTCTCTGTGTCAGCTGTCCAGGCTAGATGAGTTCCCAAAGCTGGTACCTGGGTTTTTTTTTTTTTTTTTTTTTTTGAGACAGAATATCACTCTGTCAGCCTGGCTGGAGTGGAGTGGCATTATTTCAGCTCACTGCAACCTCTGCCTCCTGGGTTCAAGCAATTCTTCTGCATCAGCCTCCTGAGTAGCTGGGATTACAGGTACCTGCCACCATTCTCAGCTAATTTTTTGTATTTTTAGTAGAGATGGGGTTTCACCATGTTGGCCAGGCTATCTCCAACTCCTGATTTCAGGTGATCCACCCACCTGCCTTGGCCTCCCAAAGTGCTGGGATTACAGGCGTGAGCTACCACGCCCGGCCACTGGGGGCTTGTTAACACAAATGCTGTCTGGGTGAGGCGGCTCATGCTGTAACCCCAG